ACGACCTTTCATGGTTCCCGAAACGACCTCCATGGTTCCCGAAACGGCTTTCATGGTTCCCGAAATGCGTTCATGGTTCCCGAAACATGGTTCCCGAACCGACGCGCGCCCATCTGCTGCGTAACAGCAGCCCGATTTTTTTCTTCACATATGAGGCGGCACTCAGGGAAAGCCGAATTTTAGACCATTTCGGGAACAAGCATTTCGGAAACAGCCCATATGTCTGAAGTGGCTGCAAACGATCGCCCATCATGATAGCAGCTGTAGAAACGATGAGAAGGACTGGTTATCTCGGTAGCCATGATTTGGACACATTTCAGTTTGGTAGTCTTCCTACCGGCAACAGAGACAGCTAATTATAACAGTAACGCTTGCAGTAGTAGCAGTAGTTAAAGCGAAAATATGTATTTGATTGTAGGGCGTGTGATGTGATGCTCCTCTGGCATTAACCTTCCCATGTCCAAGACCGTGCTGGGGGTGTAGGGTTCAGGGTGTAGGGGCTTCTGCTCGAGGACATCAGCGATTTTGCCAGCAAACATGCGCCGTACAGCTACTCGCTGGAGGCAGGCTTCACCGAACTGCGTTGACCAGACTGTTACGCTAGAGACTGAATGTGCCAGGCATTGTAGTAGTCCCGCCCGCCTTGTTTTGAAAGATAAAGTTTGCTTGCGGCGCTCATTATTAGCCCAAAAGCCTAAACCCTAAATGATGCAATGGTTTCCTCTTTGTTTTCCGTTGTGGTTTACCTTCATATGACTCCTGTATATCCCGAATATAGCTCTGTAACCTTTTTTTCCAACTGATGTGGTGCTGTTGCGCCAGGGGCTGCTTTGGGTACTCTGCAGCAAGTACCCAGAAGACACGGTCATTCTGGTCGTGCACTGAGTTTGCCACAATTCCGTAGGGCTTGCAAGCTTAATAAAAGGCGTGAGACGTGCAACGAATGCCTTGGCCTGGGCTTTCGGAGGGTGTTATTAATCATGGGTCCCTCAACCCTGGACCCCAAACCCTAAATTATGTTAGTTTCCATTTTTTTCCATGATCCCTATATAAACCCCCAATATTACCCCTATATTGCAGGTAAAGCCGCGCATGATGGTGGACCATTTTGCCATCTACGCAAACTTCATGATGGCCTGGCTCCCGGCAGCTTCGGCTGATGACAGTCCCAGCCTAGTTGCCTCCAAGTCGCATTTTGCTCTCTAGAAATCGTAAGGATTTCCATGACCTTATATCAGGAACTGTATGATATGAGCCCTGCATGAAAGTTATAGCGTATTCGGAAAATCGCCCTAAACCCTCCATACATCCCCCTCTAGGTCCCCCGCAACCGAACTTTAGTCTGTAGCTCAAATTATAGAGGGGACCCGACTTTCTGCAAACCCAAACCCTAAACCCCAAACCCTAAGCCCTAAACTCCAAACCCTAAACCCTACCACCCCCAACCCAACCCCCCACCCCCAAAAAAAAAACCTACGCCCTAAATCCAACACCCTAAACCTAGCAAATCCCAAGGTGGATGGCATGGGAAACCCGAGGCATTTGACTGATCAGAGCTTGACCAGCGAGGCCAGGCTCTCTGGTCACTATAGGATTTAGGGTTTAGGGTTTGAGGTTTAGGGATTACGGTTTGGGGTTTAGGGTTAAGAGTTTGGGGTTTGGGGTTAAGGGTTTGGGGTTTAGGTTTACGGTTTGGGGTTTAGGGTTTAGGGGTTTAGGGTTTAGGGTTTGGGGTTTAGGGTTTTGGGTTTGGGGGTGGAGGTGTTGAAATCAGGGGGAAGTGATTAAGTGCTCGAAGTTGTGATATGAAGGAGTATTTAGCGATACCATTGGTATTGCTCAAAATCAGGGTCCCTGTTGTGGGCCTATGCCACACGTTCGATGGTTGTAGAGTCTATACAGTATGGACCTCACTTCGAGAAATCGCTGTATGGGGGCTTTGGTGGGATATGTGGGAGTATGCGAGGGATCATCAATACTTTTTTTTGTGCAGATGAGAACGCTTTGTGGGGTCCGTTTCATCTGGATTCGTTGTTTCAGCGCATTTGCAGTGCTGCAAGGAAGACAGTTGAGGGGCAGCAGGGAAAACGATACACTGCTTGTGCAACAATGGCTTTAGGGTGGGGATGCTGGAAGAAAATAATTTTGCTATCCACCTTAGACCCTACATGTCAGGACAAGCTTCGGAGGCACTCCCTCCAAACATCCAGGAATCTCAATCAGGTTTCTCGAGCGCATGATACTTTTTGCAGTCCTCCTAGCGAGGGCCCGTTCATTTTTGCAGCATTGCAGGTCGGACCTCCTTTTTTTGTTTTGTTTTGTTTTGTGAAATGGTCTAATAACCTTGCAGTATTCTCTCGTAATCTATTGAAGTCCTTAGAAGCGCTTTCTCAACCCTAATGGGTACCCATCGCATCAGCCCTACACAAGTCTACTCTCATTTGTCCAGGCTGCATCTGCGCCAGACGAGTACCATGTACCCGCCTCTAGCCCAGCCTGTTGCATGCAGCCTAGTAATGCCGTCATGCCAATGTTTCGGGCATTTCTCAAGCTTGAGGTCCGTGCACTACTGTTACTACTGTTATTATATAAAACATACTACTACTATCTTTACTGCTATTACTATTACTATTATACAAAAATTCTTAGTATAATTGATATTATTACTACTGTTATTATTATTACAAGCGCCCAGAAAAAGGACCGGGCCAGCAGTGCTGAGGCATCTCATCATCTTCTTGAACTGTCGCCTTGACTCGCTTCCGAAAATAGAAGTTTAGGGCTTACGGTTTAGGGTCTAAGGTCTAAGGTTTAGGGTTTAGGGTTTAGGGTCTGGGGTTAAGGGTTTAGGGTTTACGGTTTAGGGTTTCAGGGTTTCAGGGTTTCAGGTACCAACAACATGCAGTGCTGCTTGGCAGGCTGAAGTCTCTGGGCAAGGAGCTGAATGAGGACAGATTTTTTGTTTGGCGAGTCAAGCCTACAAAGTTCACCAGCCACAGTGCTATGAACCCCTATATAGTCCAAGTTTCCATCTCATTTTCCATTTGATTCTCCACCATCCCTAAACCCCCTATATATCCCCCATAATCCTAAAATAAATGGCAAGAATAATGACCATAATAGTAATAGTATTAATAGTAGTTGTAATAGTGCTAGTCGCAGTAATCGTAATACTAGTCATAATCGTAATAACAGGAATAATCGTAGTAATCGCTCGTTGTAGTAGCAAAAACTCTAGCAATATTGACCAGAGTGATAATAGTAATTAGAGTAAGAGCGGCGCCTGCTTGTTAGGAGATCCCAGCTCACTTGATCCTGGTTGGCTTCAGCAAGGGTGCTGCCGTCAGCCCCCGCTTGTGTTAGGGTTTAGGGTTTAGCGTCTAGGGTTTAGAGTTTAGGGTCTAGGGTTTAGGGTTTAGGGTGTAGGGTCTAGGGTTTAGGGTCTAGGGTTTAGGGTCTCGGGTTTAGGGTGTCATCCACCTTTTAATGGGAAGGTTTGAGGACTTAGGGTTGAGAGTGATAGCGTCGGTAAGGATTACTGAAGATCATATTGAGGTCCTCGTATTTGCCTGATATACCACTGTTACAATACGAGGGTCCGCCCATACAGTCTGTGGAGTGTGCCAATGGGCTGGCTTTGTCTTGCTTGCCTCGTGGAGGTACTCAATGCCCTGATGCGGGATCCGAAGGTGGAACACTCAGCTGACGTCCCATGCCCTGCCCGGGGAGTCAGTTTTCTGGATCCTACTTGAATCCTCAGAAAATGTGTAATTATGCTCTAAACCCCTGTGGACCCTTTCACCCCTGTATCACTGTATAAAACCCTACGACATAATGTACTTTAGGCAGTTGCCGTAAATAGGGGGACCCCAATGCAGACCCAAAAATATTAAAGCTCCTATTCTGGAGACCTCCAGAAAGGTACATCTACTTTTGAGAAACCCTAAACTGGAAACTCCTGCATAAGCCCTATCAGCCCTTTTGAGGGTGCACTCAATTTTTGGACCCTAAACCCTACTTGGAGGGTCGGGAGGTTTTAATGGTTCATAGTGGAAACTAGGGTTACTACACCTACTTGCCAAGTCCCACTGATCCTAAACCCTAAACCCCAAACCCTAGCAAGTAAACCCCATGTGCCTAAAGCGGATAGCCCCGAAACTCTGAGGAGGAGCTGTGGTCGTCAATCCGCACAGCAACAGCCCTGGGCTGCCACGCTTGGGTTCAGACTGTAGGGTTTAGGGTTCGGGTTTAGGGATGGGGGTTTATTTAGGGTTCGGGGTTTAGGGATGGGGGTTTAGGGTTCGGGGTTTAGGGTTCGGGGTTTAGGGTTGGGGGTTTAGGGTGTGGAGTTTAGGGTTTGGGGTTTGGGGTTTCGGGCCTCAATCCAGAGAGCCCAATGCCCCTGAAGTTGGGCATAGACCCCGGATAATAATTACTAGGATCCCTCATAGGATTTAAGCAATGTTCCTTAATTAAGGGGTATTGGGCTACCTGGGCGCGTGCAGTGAAGCAGTGTACAAAATTAGCATATTAATTACCATAGTAATTACATTAATTACTACTCTATCTTGCCCGGTATGTTTGAGAGGACTTCTGGCTGAGGTGCACTTCGTTGATGCGGGGCTCTCCGTTCCAGGCGTCTTTCCGCTGCGGGGAGAGGCAGACCAATTGTAGAGCTGCTGGTTGCCTCAAGTCGCGCAGTATTCTATTCGGGGATACTACGATACCCAAGATATTATTCTATGAAATCCAATACAGAGTAAGATTATATCTTCCTTTTGGATAGAGTATTTATGATATATATAAAGGAGGGATTCTACCTCACATAACTGAGATTTGCATGGAAAAAGCAGGATGAAATTAAAATCCAGGATTGGGGGGTTATATTGAGCTACTGTCAATATGAGGGTTACCGAGAGACCCTTATAAGGGTGGACATAGGTGGTGGTTTCGTATAGTCCCTAGTATATTTGTTAACAAGGAATCCATGTCCATTAATTCGAAAGGGAATATAGACTGTGGCTCAGAATCTAGGGCGACACACATCATTAGCCATCTTCCTGCCACAAGGAACATAATGGGCAACATCAGGCAAGCCCAAAACGCATCCGCCCAGAGCACAAGATCTGCCACCGTAGTCAGTCAACCACCCAGACATTTAACCAGGGCCTCGATTTCTCATCTGCGAAACGGCCACCTCTGGCAGTGCTGATGAAGTGCTGATGAATGCTGATGACAGCAAGGCGATCGCAAGGAATCAGCGCCACCCGCTGCTGTGGATGTGCAGGAGGATTTTGCTTTCTTTCGAGCTCTTGCGGCCTGCGTGGAGAGGAAGCTTTGTTGGTAGTCTTGTCGGAAATGCTGGTGAGCTATCCGTGAAAGGGGAATGTACCATGCGCGCTGCTTTCAAAGCATCGGACGACGAAGATCCTGTTAGCTGGCAAAAAAGCAAATGGCGGTACTTTTTGCTCATGGGCTTTGATGCCGAAGTGAGCTGAGCGGACAATGTTGCTGCCATCGGGGTGGTGTTCAAGCTCCTGAATCCCCGCCCAATGTGCAACACGATGCCACGAGTGAATCTTCGGTATTATTACTCCGAGACAGCAAAAAAGAGGCGTATCCAGCAAGCATGCAGATTGCTTCCGAAGAGGCCTCCAGGCACCACAGATTGGAAAGGGATCTGCTGAAATCAGGTTTAGGGAAATTGAGTTGTGGTATCTACCAAACGCCGGGGCCTAGACTCGTGCTTTGGCTACGTGTTTGCTGCTGATCCACCTTTGCGTGATCAAGAAGGACGTCCCAGTGCTGGCTGCAGAAGACAACGCTTGAAGTTCCGCTCATCATTGAGCATTGTCAACGTCAAAGAGAGTCTCAGCTTTTCACACAATGGTAGCTACAGAGGCATGCACATCTTCTACAGGCCTCCTGGAGACAAAAGCTGTGACTTGAGCTAAGCAACTCTGGCAAGCCAATTGCAAGAGAAAGCCGACAAGAACCTGAGTTCCGTGATACTACAAGATGCAGGATGGGCCATTCGTTTCTCAAAGAAGCCGTGGGCTTTCAGACGCCGAGCTCGAGCTAACAAGTCCTTTCCGACCTCTTCCCTGCGTCGTGTCATTTATTGCAGCAGGGCCGTGCATCCGATCAGTGCAAGCCCCTTTTGAGTGCAGCAGCCTTGTGTCGAGAGGAGGATGGGGCAAAATCTTTGGCAGAAAAAGCTGACAATTTAGAACACAGAGCGTGGGCACAAAGATGCATATGGCTCTGATGCATGGTCTGCGGACTCCCAGACAGCGTTGCAGATCCCGTTCCTGCCAGCGTCCGCTGTGCTGACATTGGTGGGCTTGTCTGACAGCAGCAAGATACAGCTAATCAAAATAGATGCAAAGGGCAACGAGCTGCAGATACTGGAAGCAATGCTGCCGGTTTTGCGGCCTTGGCAGGTTTAAAACGTGGTTGTTGAGGTCACTCCCTTGTGGTGGTGCCATACGGGCTGCACAACTCAGAGGAGAGCTGAGATCTTTGAGCAGCTTGCGAACTTTGGGTGTGTGGGTAGTACCATTCGGGGTCACAGTCTGAAAGATGCTGCTGCTATGCGCCGCTACATTTTGCATGGAAAGATCTACCAGGACGATCTCTGGCTGCAGAAAGCCAACGCCAGCACCTCGGAAGAGGGCTTTGGGAGCAGCAATTTCAGCAGCACACTTGAACCACTTGTGGTAGCTAGCACGATGCTACCTGCGCTGACCAGTCAAAAGCAGCTCTTCGTGGCACCATCGCAGCGGATACCAGCAAACGCCGAGCGCCACGAAATGGGCGAAGTCATCCGCCGTCATGGCCACGCCGTTGAACACCCGAGCTCGCATGTTACCATGCTGCAACGGGCAAGCATCCTCAGAAGATGAATGCCGGCTCCTGAAGGCTTCATGTTTAGTAGGATGTGGGGCGCAGAAGTGCGCGGTGGCCATGCGGGATGAGAGTGTGCTGTACAGTTGGATAGAGGGTCCGTGTACAGAATTGAGGATCTCCTCATGGATTTCTGTTCGGTTGACGCGTGGAGAATGTTTTGGGGATAGTCTTCCGGGATCAGCACGTTTGGGATCGATGGCAAGGCAGACAAGACAGTTTGGTCCGGGATCAGACAGTGAAGGGGAATTAGTTATCCTACAATTCTGCCGCGTTGCACCATTTAGGACACTGGGGATGTTGTCCCGGAAAGGGCACATTTGAGTGACCTTTCCGCGTCAGTCAGAGTCTTTGGGCATGGAAATTAAACTGCGCGGTACTTTTTTTTGCTGCGAAACTGCGAGACCTTACGAGCAGCCGACATGCACGACTGCTCCCCAACATGCGTCATTCTTGTGAAAAAGCAGACATTGTCTTCGATGCTGCAAGCCTGAGTTTGGCGTGTTTCGATTTTTCTCTGTGGCAGGAGCTTCAGCAGCTGCGCGCAGTAGTGGCCACCCTAGTTGGGAGGCGTTGCATCCGGCAGCATGTTCGGCTTGCCCGTCATTCTTGCCAGGTAGGATTCTTGTTCCCATGCCCTGCTTCGATTGTTCCGAGGTCCGGCCGGACTTCGAAATTTGGCTCCACTGCACTCCACGCCAAGTCCAGGATTGCGCGTGCTGTCCATAACCGAAATTACTCACCGCATGCAGCCGCGTAGGCTCCTGATGCTAAGAGGACGACTCGCGCCCCTTTGTCGCACACGAGCATGACGCCTTCGAAGCCAAATGTAAGGCGAGTGATGCACAAGACTGACAGTTAGTCAAATAATCCCTATACAGTCCCCTTACTCCCTACTTTAACCTCAATTCATACCCTGTATAATGTAGTAGTTTCTATCTTCTTTTCCATGACCCCTATGTAATCCCAATCTATCCCCTTATCCCCTATCTTAAACTCTAAATCCCAAACCCTTGACCCTGAACCCGAAACCCCAAACCCTATATGGATGGTTGTCATAATTCTGTTCCCTTTTTGGACCCCTATTATGATACAGCACCTAATATTTAGGGTACCCAAAAAGGGACCATAATTTTGACAACTACCCATATAAACCTTAAACCCTAAACCAAATATGTCGATCTTCCTGTGCCCTGCTCCAGGCTCTGGGGATGGCAATACAGCGGAGGCCTGTGGCCTCCAAGCCCCAAACCCTTCTTTCCGTCCTTTCGCTTTTACCCTTTATTGTAGGGGTTCTTGGGATTTAGGGTTTAGGGATAATTTCGAAGGGTAGGTGGGTACTGCAAAATGCTCATTCCACGCTCATGAGGCATCAGAGACCATGTTCGAAGTTCCAGATGCAGAGATGTCACTTCTTGTAGGATGTATGCAGCTGGGCTTCCCGTGAGCTCTGGCCTTGGAGAATTCAGTATATTGGGGGTTATATAGGGTTAATGGAAACTAAAACGGAAACTACTATAGCATATTGGGGTTAGGGTTTAGGGTTTAGAGTTCAGGGTTCATAAGGGTTCAGGTTTTAGGGTTTACTATTTTGGCTTAGGCTTTAGAGATAGAGAGTTTAGGGTCAGGGTTTAGGTTTAGGGTTTAGGAGTATATACAATATAGTAGCTTCTATTTTCGTTTCCGTTATCCCTATATAACCCCAAGATAATCTATAATAGTCCCCGATAATAATCCTCTTCAGGAGTAGACATTAGGTGGCCCCCCCCACCCTGTAATAGTG